ATGCAAATAAACTTCCTGTCCCTCCAGGCGGCAAGATAATGAATACAAGGCACACAGATCCTTCGTGCAAGATTTCATGCTTTTTTTTTATTCTTTTGTTTCAACCCTCTCCCCCAATAAGTCTAGCATAGGTTCCCGTTATCCATGTGTCTATGTGTCACATTTCTTACCTTCTTCATAAATGAGCATCTCTTTATTACATTCGATCATGTGATTAGCAAAAAAAAAAAAAATAATAATTGTCGAACTAAACACAAGGTACACCAATGATTTGAGGCACCTTTGCAACCTTGTCATTCCCCATTAACCACTCAATCACATATCCAGTTCTTCATCAACCACTTTGAGCCTCGTCTAACGTTTGGCCTTCATTTCTTCAACCCACATTCACTGGGATTTGAAGATGTGTAATTGTATAACATTCAAAAAACAAGTAAAAAAATAGTAGCAAAGCAAAAATAAAACAATGTCTAAAGGCAAGTGTTCCAATGTCTTTGATATGAACACGTCTCAAATTGCGTCTCTTATCGAGTGCTTGGTACCGTGCCTGAGAAACATGAATGCTAAGTGAGTGATGGACCGCATGATCTGAGATTGCCTACATTGATTCAAAAGAATGAAAAAAAAAAGTTCAAAGCAAAAAAAATGTGTTGAAAATAAACTTGCAAAATTCAAAATTTTCAAATTCACAATTACACATCTTGGGGCTTCTCTCGGGTCTTGAGCCTTTTCCTCTTTCTTCCTTAAACCATCAACTTAACCACATTACAACCCTTGAAAGACCTCTTTGAGGTGTACATACACTTGTGCAAAGTTCGATTAGAGCTACGTTGGCCTGATTCCTAACGGATACGTAGGCAACCTCACGTCGAGGTGCGGCCACATTCATATTCATATCCATGCATGATCGAGTCAAAGAATATCCAATTCTTATCCCTACCCATTTAGAGCTAGACTTGGGGGCTTGAACCCAAATCACATTAGCTTACTTAGCCTGAAGAGTCATCATCTTTAACTCTTCTCACATCTCTTTCCATCGCTATAACCCTTGCAACCAGCCTTAGTATCACATTCACTCACTTCACTCACACATCCATATCCATATCAATCATCCTTCCCTTTAAGAGCCCTTTATCATGAAATCTTGTTTCAACACTGTGCATGTTTCATCATATTTAAAGACAACATTCAGTAGAAGAAACATTATATACTTGTTTAGCTTCCTGACCTGAGCAATGTTCATTGTTTCGCATAATGTGCTAAGAAACATTTATATATCAATGATTTTTAATCATACAAAGCATATCGTGCTTAGCTCCCTGACCTAAGCAACGTTCATTATGCAATAATAACTATACGTGCTTAGCTTCCAGACCTAAGTGACGTTCAAAATCGCTTCTTTACACCATATATGATGCTTAGCTCCATGACTTAAGTTCATTCATCTATCGTGTCACATGATGTAATTTTCCTTAGCTCCTGGCCTAAGAACATGCATCATACATTATTTTCAGGACAAACAATTCAATCCATACGAATTATTTCGTCTTGCTCAAGGAGGAAGTTCAAAACTTCTCTCCCTTTTCATTATTTTATTTTAGGGAAGTTCAAAAAAAACTTTTTCCAAGTTTTCATCGAAGGAAGTTCGAAAATAAAAGTTCATTTTTCACATCTTTCTTTTTCGGGAGAAAGTCGGTACCCTCCACTCATGACAAAAATTGACGAATTTTTTTTGCTTTTGCATCTTCGTTTGCTTGTGTCTACACACACACATATACACACACACACACACTCACAAGTCATACACATGTCACATCAAGTCAAACTTGGTCAAGTTAGTGGTCAAGTCAATCACAGTATATACGAGTCCATTGGCAAATTTATTTTTGCAGGTCCATCTACATCCCACGTCCGGGGACAAGCAGACCATCTACAGCCCACGTCCGGGGACAAGCGGACCACCATCATTTCATGACGCAAGGTTCTCGATACATAGAGACTTGCAATCTCATCATCTTTCGACTTTCCTCAAGCATGGAAAGTATTATCCGGTGGATTTTTCTTCAAGTATAGAAAACCGCCAAATCGGCTTTCCTCAAGCATGGAAGGCATTATCGGTGGAATTCTTCAAGCATAGAATGACACCATATTCATCAGTCGGCTTTCCTCAGGCTTGGAAAGCGTTATCGGTGGATTTTTCTTCAAGTATAGAAAACCGCCAAGTCGGATTTCCTCAGGCTTGGAAAGCATTATCGGTGGATTTTTCTTCAAGTATAGAAAACCGCAAAGTCGGCTTTCCTCAAGCTTGGAAAGCGTTATCGGTGGATTTTTCTTCAAGCATAGAAAACCGCCAAATTTCTTTGTCGGCTTTCCTCAAGCATTGAAGGCATTATCGGTGGATTTCTTCAAGCATAGAATGACACCAAATTCGTTCGTCGACTTTCCTCAGGCATGGAAGGTATTATCCGGTAGCTTTCTTCAGGCTTAGAAAACTGCCAAACTCTTCAGTCGGCTTTCCTCAAGCATGGAAAGCGTTTCAACCAATGTCACTCGGTAGATTCCTTCAAGCTTAGGAAGCTGCCAAATTCGTTTGTCACCGACACACTGGTGCCAGATACGTATTCTATTCCGTTACTCTTTTATCTGTGGAATTAACATTTTTCTGCAGGTATCGGCGTATACAGAATGATTTAGGATCGCAGAACGTCTTAAATCATTCTCCGTCCCTATCTACTACTTTGACTATCGTTTTCGAAACTGACGTTTCTACAAACTCAGTCAAAGTGGGGGCTTCTGTAGACACCTAAAAATGTCTCCCCAAAACCAAACCCGATGATAAATAACCTTTCACCGCCTCTATTGGTCGGGTTTAGTATTTGAACCCGAGAGTGCTTAAAAAATCGTATTTTATTAAATTCATACCTTTGAAAGGTCCATGGATTAGTCTTGATGTTTGGTAAAAGCATAGTTTTAATTTTAGCCCAAGCTTATTAATTAATTTTAAGCCCAAACCTTTTTATTTTATTATTTTATTATTTATTTTTAGCCCAAACATTTTATTTATTTTTATTTTATTATTTTCTTATTTTAGCCCGAGTAATAAAAGTCAGAAAAAAGCCCGAAATTATCAATCGGCACTTAAAAAGAAAAAAGAAATTAGGGTTAAAAATAAATTTAGACGGAAAAATGGACTGGAAGTGACCGTGTCACGGTACAGTCTGACCGTGTCACGGTACAGTCTGACCGTGTCACGGGAACCCTTCCCGTCTGACGGTGGGACTTCCCGTGACACGGCAGGTCTACCGTGACACGGGAGGTCTGCCGTGACACGGGACGTTCCGTGTCCTTTCCGCGTAAACCCTTAACGCGTTTTTTATTTCGTTTTCTGAAAATTTCCCGCGTCACTCGAAAACTGTACCGTGTCACGGGAAAGTGTACCGTCTGACGGTACGGTCTGACCGTGTCACGGGATACTTTTTTAGGGTTTTTATCATTTTAGGGTTCCGTGTGCTCCCTCAGCATATTTTCCCTATAAATATCCCCTCATTTCTGATGTAGGGGGTGACCAGAATTTTGTTATTCTTATTTTCTCTTTTCTATGCTATTAACCTAAACAATAGCCTACCCTTTTCACTTCAAAATTCCTTCTTCAAGCACTCAAAGGAGTCCATATTTCACTCGAGGTTCTGTCCTTAAGCCAAGGCGTGAAAGGTAGAATCGTTCGAGGGTTTGGCCCCAAAATCAACCTTATTTTATTTTATTTAATTTAGTTATTGTTTTATTATTTCCTTGAAGTTACTAACTCGTTTATTATTTTGTAGTTGCCAGCAAACAGATTCAAAGTAAGGATCATGCTCTTTTTTTTATTATTATTATTTTTTCTAACGATTTTTATGTTGTTGGAATTGTGATTAAATTGGTTTTAATATTAATGTTTATTTTATTGTTATTGATCACCATATTGCATGTTTAAAGGGAATATGTAATTGAAAATCACGCCTAATAAGATAATTTGGACAACCGGTTTAGGATCCTTTTAATCTTGTTATTAATTGAAGTGTTTTTCGAGGTGGGGTTTTTCGAGGTGGGGGAGGGGTTTAAGGTGGGGCGAAAGTGGTTCGCTGGCGGCTGGGGAGGGGGTTTGGGCGCCGACCATGAAGGGAGGGGGGTTTTTCGAGGTGGGGAGGGGTTTAAGGGGAGGGGAAGCGCAGGGAGAAGGGGCTGGGGTAGGGAAGGGAGTGTCGGAGGGTGGGGGGGCTGCCCTCGCCGGCGAAAATGGACCACTGGAGGGGAGGGGTGGGTTCTGGGGGTCGTGGCGGTGGTGGATGATGGTCGGCCATTGGGGTTGGTGGGGTTTTTTTTTTTTAAAAAAAAACATTTATTTTTTTTATTTTTTAATTTTTTTTTTATTTTTAAAGTTTTTTTTAATAATTAATTAACTAAAATTACAACAACCAATTAGAGGCTGACATGTGGCATATTAGTCATTAACGATTAAGGGTATTTGGTGACATTTTTCTTAAACTCAGGAGTATTTGGTGAATTTAAAAGTTTTGATGGGTATTTGGTGAATACAAAAATAAGTCAAGGGCATTTGGTGAAATTTCCATATATTTAATATGAGTAGATCTTTTTAAAACGTCCAAAATAGTATATAAGATTAACATTATGAAAAGGATGGAGTAATATTTAAGTCAAATTTGGAAATGAGAGTTTTATTGTTTCATATTGCAACCTGTGAAGTGCACAAAACTACAAATGGGTATGGATAAAAACGTAAAATAAGTGAATTAGTGACACAACAAAACTAGACCACAATGGAGTCTTCTTTTTGGCAGATGCGATTCTCTTTCAACATCATCTTGTTCCTTCTCAAATTCTTCCTCTCTTTCTCGAAGTCGTAAGCTTACCATACATCATGGACCCCAACAACTTTCAACCTCGACGGCTGCTTTTATATTCTCAAACCATGCGATTTTTATGTGGTAATTGCAAATTTGACTTCATTTTTATATTCAGTTCATACAAGTACCTTTCAATTTGTTGATTGTTTCCTTGTATTGCCTGTTATTTGGTTGTGGGTTTTTTTAATAATTAGTATATGGTCAACTTTCATGATGAAATTGTCATGATTTCTGTTAGTGGTTTTTATACAAATTCAAAGACTTCAATTTTTTATTAGCAATTTCATAGTGATTAGGCAGGTAGGTCCCTTTAATTCTATTTTTTGGGATTATTATTATCAGTCAAAGTTATAAAGATATTCTGATTAATACCAGTCTAACTTGCTTTTTGATTGAAGCTTTGTGTTCAAGTTTCATGGGGTTTCCTTGAAATTTGCTCCAAAGTTGGTCAACATAGTTCCCTTCTTTTTAAGGGTGATATATAACTTTTGTTTTTGGGATTGTTAGATTGTTGGGTATTTGTTATCTTTTGATTATATTTTTTGTTTGTGAATTTTTGTATATTTGGGCTTTTGGATTTGGTTGTATAAGTTTTGAATCCAATATGGATGCAAAAACAAGCGAGGAATCGAATTATCTCATCAGAGCTAAACAATCAGACAATGAAAATGGAGATTTGATGTCGAAATTGAAGGGTAAAGGGAGTCTTAGTAGCAAGGAGGTGTTTTATAGAGCTGATAAAATTGATCTAAAAAGCCTTGATTTACAGCTGGAGAAAGAGCTGAATAAGGTTTGGAGCAAGAGATTGGATACAAACAGGCCAAAGGAAGAGTGGGAGATCGATTTTTCGAAGCTAGAGTTGAAGCATCTTGTTGCTCATGGAACTTATGGCTCTGTATATCGAGGAACGTATGACAACCAAGATGTTGCAGGTATAATATGGCTTCTTTTGAATTGCAATCTGAGTCCATAATATTATACTGTGAGCATAATTTATGTATCTGAAGTCTCTTGACTTGTATTTTTGACTTTCTTGTTTGATTGAATTGATTTTGTGATATGTATCTGATGGAATTTGCAATTGGTATGGTATTTCTGAATGCTGTTTCAATAATTTAGACATTATATAGAATGAAAGCTTAAATTACTTTGCTGAAAGCATTGCTCAAGAGTGCCCAGATAATGCTACCATGGGAGGAAGATGGATATGTTCATTTGGAAACAATGGAACTAAACAGCTGCTCATTGGCTTTGTTGCGTTGTCTTTGATGTACATGTTGAATTCATTTTCCTCACAACCTTTTCATTTTATATGGTTCCTTATATTGAAGAATGCTGATTGTTAACGTGCTTTATCTCCAAACTCCAAAGCCATAAAATATAATTTTAAGAGTTTAATTAAGTGTAGTTTGTAAGCAAACATTAGAAAGGAAACGACTTGAAAATGAAATAGTGATGATGGATGATATTTTAAGACCACCTTGTATGGTAAAAAAACAATTTGAATAATATTTTTGAGACTAAGTAGGTGAGACTTCTTTGGCACTTAAATTGACATTATATTATATGGAGTCTTTGCTAGCGTCTGGCTCTTTAATTTTAGCTGACAAGGACACTTCAAGCTTTTGTCATAAATCGGCTATTTGTTTCCTCTGGAATGAGGACATATGGTCGAGTTGAACAATACTCTTACTAGCTTGTAAGTTTTTTCCGAGTCTCTCTCAGGATTCTGTATTGAATTAGGAAAATCTTGTTTTCAAGGAGTCAATATGAATTCCTTTTTCCTATAGATTTGCTTCTCTTGCTGAATTTCTTATCCAGACTTTCCCACTGACCTATCTAGGTGATTTATGTAAGACTATTTCTTTGTGGTATATACTTGTGAGCAGGATAACAAAATAATTTACTTAGTTTTGTTTCTTCTTGCACTTTTTTTTTTTTTTTGAAATTACTTGATTATTTTGTTTAAGAATAAACGGCTTGAATATTTTAAGACTTTAAACTTTTAAAGTTGTGTTGGATGGTGTGATGGACAATTTGTGTATGATTTTTTTCCCCCAAATTTATGGAGTATCTATTTATAGTCTATTGAGGAGAGATAGATTAATATTACTAAAGAAACCATTTTTCCAGAAAATTATTGAAATTTATCATTTGGTGCTGAGCAATTAAAAAAAAAAAATGACTTTGGATGGAAGTGAAATCATGTTTTGTGTACTTAAGGCTATGCTTAAGTTTTAACCATATCAAAATATTAGCTCTCATTTTATAGCCCTTGTATTATTTTATTAGACCTTATTAATTCTTGCTAAGTTGTTAGAACCTATTAATCCATATTTTATCTTATATTAATTGATCAATTCTTATCTTATCTACACTTATTAGCCTTTAATTTTATCTTGTATGAACTTAATAACTATTATCCCATCTTATTTTATCTCAAATTATCAGATCAGAAATACGTGAAAGTAAAGTGAGTAGGACAATGCCTAAGTCCAATAAGTTTAGTCTAGCTATAATAAGTTTTGATAAGTTTCAATAAGAACCTAAATCACATCACAACTCTGATAAATTTTTAGTACTAATGTTAAGTTCTAATAAGTTTGAGGTCAGACAAGTTGCAATAAGTGAGGTAAGTTCACATCAATATATTTGAAGTGAAAAGAACACATCCTTAGTGATTTTAAATGTGGTGAGTTTTCTCAACTACTAAGCATCTTTTTCAGTGCATTTTGTTTTAAAGTTGTCCCGTTTGATTTTTTGGTTCTTGATACTCTACATGAAAATGACCAATACGAAGTATCTTGTGTCATTCTAAGTGTTTATGGTTTTGACAAAGTTCTTATAACTATGTTACTTGGCGGGGTTGTCTCCAAGTGTCTAAGTCAGCTTTTGTTGTGAAAATTTACCATGATTTTGGCCCAAAATAAAGTTCAAGTGTGTTGAGGGTCCAACACCAGAACTTGACGTGAAAAAAAGAGTCTAAGTGACTTTGTTTTAAAAAAATTTCTATGTCATAGCCATGTCTTATTCTAATATTCATTGATGCTATTGTGATGGATGGGGTTGATGCCAAAATATATACTTCCTCCATATTTTTTAGATGCGTCACTTTAGGAATCACGACGTTGTAGGACAATGGGATAGTCATCCCCAAAAGCTAGCTCAAGGGGAGGAGAGCCTGTTGTCCTATATAAACCCTACATCAACCCCCTATATGATCGATGTGGGACTCTAGTCCTAGGCCTTGCAATGGACAGTCCTATAACACACTGACTACTAAGCAATTTTTGGAGATGGGAGAGATACAAAGGAAGAAAAAAGAGGACTTATGTGATATGAGAGAGATAAAGAGTATTAATTTAACATAAAAGGAAAGTAATCCATTTAAATTCAAACTTCCTCATATATTGAAAGTGATGCGTCTAAAAAAATAGCGGAGGAAGTATGAAGAATTAACAACTGGCCTGCTACTTAAACTATTTAGTAGATTATTAAGTCTTCTACTTAGATGACCAGAGTCACTGGACCCTAAAAATTTTGAGAAATGTGTTCTCCTGTTTGTTGAGAAGTTATTGCATAAGATGGATGTGCAGTGTGGCTTTCATGATTGACTTTTAGCTGTGAAGTGATTTGGGTTGTCTTATCATTTACATATGCGTTGTAGAAGAATTTGCCTTGTTTGCTTTATAATATGGTCTTGTAACAATTGCAACATAACCCCAATAAGGTGTGAATGCCTGAGGGGAAAAAAAAAGGTGTGTGTGTGGGGTGGGGGGGGGGGGATCCCCTAAGTAATGTGATCTTGAAAAGTCACCATTGTATAAAAATGAATATGCAATTCTCTTGTGAAATGATGGAAGGAAATCTAATCAATGCCTGAAGGATTTAATCAATGTCCCTTTATGCTATTTTATTATTAGTTTTTTTTATAGGTGCTCATCAAGAATGTACGCCGCATAAAATGCATGCCACCTCTTTCCCTAAAGGTTTAAACTTTGATAAGGGTTGGGCTTTGGGGGTTAAGAGGGGTGAATGGGTAGAGGGGTAAGCATATTAATTATTAGAAGACCTTGGTGATATTAAGATCGACCACACTTCTATTTGTCCCCATATTGGATTTGATTTGTCTAGAATACAGTCTATTATGCACCTGAAGGCTGAAGTCCAGAATATTTCAGGAAATATGATTTAAATTGGAAAACCTTCTGTACTTTTGTGAATATGTGTTGATGCTGTGATTTTCATTTTGTCTTATTGCAATCAAATGTTTATATCATAGTGAAGCTCTTGGACTGGGGAGAGGATGGTATGGCCACTGCTGCAGACTCTGCTTCATTACGAGCAGCATTTCAGCAAGAAGTTGTTGTTTGGCAAAAACTTCATCATCCAAATGTTACCAAAGTAATCTTTTTCAAATTGCTCCACTTTTGGCTGATTTTTATATATGGTACATTGATTTGTTACATTGTCAAGTGAGTGAGAGAACTCTCAGGCTATATTTTGTATTTGGTTTGCAACTTATTTGTGCCCCCACCTCCTCTGTTTGGTATGGTGTGACTCTAGTTTTTCAAGTTAAATAAGCGACTAATCTCAACTGCTGTCTTGTTTGTGATTGTAGTTTGTTGGGGCTTCTATGGGAACATCAAATCTCAAATTACCTGAAAAGAATTCTTCTCAAAAAGCTCCTCGCTCTCTTTCATCGAGAGTATGCTGTGTTGTTGTTGAGTATATTCCTGGAGGGACTCTCAAGCAATTTTTAATAAGGAATAGGAGGAAAAAACTTGCTTTTAAGGTTGTGATTCAGCTTGCTTTAGATCTTGCTAGAGGGTGAGTTCACTCTCTCTCTCTCTCTCTCTCTCGTTTTTAAATCAAGCCATAAAATTTATGCATCCTTTTTGCAGGCTTAGCTACCTGCATTCAAAGAAGATTGTCCATCGTGATGTCAAAACTGAAAATATGCTACTAGACTATGAAAAGACAGTAAAAATTGCTGACTTTGGTGTTGCTCGTGTGGAAGCTCAGAATCCAAGTGACATGACTGGTGCTACTGGTACTTATGGTTACATGGCTCCTGAGGTGATTATATTCATATGCTCTTTAATTAAAGAAATTGCGTAAATATAATAGAAGATGAACAATCCATATGACATCCCTTCTCCGCTGTTCCATGCTTACTGATAGAACAAAAAAGTAATGTAACCACTGGAGTCAAAATCTGAATGTTTCTCTCTCTCTCTCTTATCTTTTTTATTGTTTATATTTACTTATTTATTTTATTTTATAGGTACTTGATGGACAACCGTATGATCATAAGTGTGATGTCTACAGCTACGGCATTTGCATTTGGGAGATTTACTGTTGTGCAATGCCATATGCCGAGCTTAGTTTTAGTGAAGTTTCGTCAGCTATTGTTGCACGGGTTAGTTTCTAGATTTTACCATTACCTTTATTTATTTTGATTCTTACTTTCAGTTATAGTCTTTAGCAATCTGCCTCTTCATCATAGTGCTGCATAACTTATTCCTCAATCCTCATTATGGTGTTTCCAATGTGAATCTTTTGAAGTCTTCTAAAACTGCTTACATTATGCCAATTGCTTCATGTATTTAGCCTTTGAATAATGATAATAATTTGCACAATAAGAGTTTGAGTAATATGTACATGTATCAATTCACAATTATCTGATCGACATTATATAGTGTTGTCAGTTCTGCATTTAGCAAATTGTGTTTTGTAACAAGTTTAAACTAATATATTCTTTTCGGGCAGAATTTACGACCCCAAATTCCCAGATGTTGCCCCAACTCCTTAGCAAACATAATGAAAAGATGTTGGGATGCAATCCCCGAGCAACGTCCTGAGATGGATGAGGTGGTAAGGATGCTTGAAGCAGTAGACACTAGCAAAGGTGGAGGGATGATACCAGAAGGCGAAACTCCTGGTTGTTTATGCTTTGGCCGTGCTCGTGGTCCATAATTTTTTTTTACTCAGTTCCACAACTTTGTTTTTGGTTACATTAAATCTTTGTGCAGAGGCCTCTCACTCGTGAGAACCACAACTCGTTTTCATGGTACATAAATTGATGCTAGGTTGTTGATTGAACATGTGTGCTTTCTTTTAGTCTCTTTCAGCATTTGTAGGAAATTTTTTGGGCTGGAGAAGTAAATATCATTCGTAAAACAGATTGATTGTACTTACATACAGGCTTATGTTGTTCTGCTCTTGTATAATTTACACATTTTATAATCAATACATATACATGTAAAAATTTTATGGGAAAAAAATTAATAATAATACATTATACATTTACATGTAAAACGTTTTATTTTATTTATTTATTCTCTTTTTTTTACCCTTTTTTAACCCTTTTTTTTAAGAGATTGTCAGACTCCATTTGATGCAGTTTATGCAGCTGCCAAATATTTCCTTTAAAAGAGATTGTCAGACTACATTTGATACATTTTATGCTGCTACCAAATATATGCTCTGGAAATTTTTTGATAACTTTCGCAAACAAGATCTAAAGAAAATTTAATTAATATTGCATGTACATCAATTAGTGTAAGGTGCACCCTTGTGCACCTTAGATAGGTGAAACAATGCAGCCCAAAAGCCCAATTACACACAATTCAATTAAAAAAAGCCCTAAAACTAAAAAACACGGAAACAACAATACACCCACCCTCACCCAATAAATGTAACGTCACCTCCAAACTCAAAACTTTTTTCTTCTATATGACTTTCTCTCTCCTCTATTTCATTTCCTCACTAAAAAACTGCAAAAACATTAATGGACATTAGAGAAGAGATGCAAAATCAAAATGATCCTCCCTAAAAAAAGGCAATTTTATGTAAATTTTACTTAATTTTGTTTGAATTTATATGATTATCACTTAATTTTGTTTGAATATTTATTCGATACTCTCTATTGTTCGAAATTTTTATTGGAATTGTAAAAAAAATTTAGTGAAATCAAACGGATGCCTTATGTTCACATTGCGAAATGCATATGTTCATATTTTAAATTCTTATGTTCATATTTTGAATCCTTTTATAAACTTTCTGAAATGCTCATATTCACTTTCTTAATTCTTATGTTCATATTTTTTATGTATATGACCTTCTGAAATGCTTAATTATGTTCATACGCATTCAAAAATGAACCAATGCATATGTTCATATTTTGAATGCATATGTTCATATTTTGAATGCTTATGATGCATATGTTTCATAATCATATTATTTTTTATTTCTTCAATTTTTTTGTTCACAATTAAATGCCTTATATTCATTTATATTCATGATAATATTTTATATGTTCATAATGTATATATTCATAGTAAATATTTGTTGTTCATAAATATTCTCATTAAGTCTGTTTATGCATATGTTATCTTTCTTAAACGTGTATGTTCATATTTTTTTACGCATATGTTCACCTTTTAAATGGTTATATTCACTTTAAAGAAACCAATGCTTACGTTTATATTTTGAATTGTTATGTTTACTTTCTGAAATGCATATGTTCATATGTTTATGCCTATGTTCACCTTCTGAAAAGCTAATGTTCACATTTAAGGGAATCTATGCATATGTTCATATTTTGCATGATTATGTTCGTTGATAAAAAAAAATGCTAGAAAATCAGATGAAATTCATACACAGATGAAATTGATCGAAGCTAAAAAAAAAATCCAATTCATATGAATTCAAAAATCAGATAAACAACCAATTCCGCCATATTTTAAGGAACAAATTCAATCGTTAAATCGAAAAAAACGAGAAAAAAAATAGAGGAAAAAGGAATTAAAGAAGGAAGGAGAAAAAACCGAGTATAATTTGTAAATTTAAAGATTCATATAAACCTTAATCAATCGAAATTAAAGCACAAAATCGAAATTCACACAAAAATTCATACTTAATAACTACTTTCATGTTGTAAGAAACAAATTTAATCAAAAAAGTGTGAAAAGGGGGAAAATTAAAAATCTGAGGAGAGAGAAAATAAAAAACGAAGGAGAAAAATAGAGGAAAAGAAAGCTAATGTTCATATTTGTGCTATTGTTACACCTTTTTCTAGGTGCATGAGTGTGCACCTAAGAATATGCGCATACACATGGGCTAGCACTGGAAACTGTGGTTATTTACTCTACACACACGGAATGTATTAGTCCATTCGAGATACAAAGAATATTAAACTCGATTCTGATTTATCTTAATTTGTAACAAGCTAATTAAGGACTTTCAGCAACAGTTTAACAAAATAACAAGCTATGGAATAAAATTTTAAAAATACAGCTCTTTAAAACAATTACAACACACAAACCTTTAAAGAATTTTTTTTAAAAAAAAGTGATAAAGACCCTATAAAACCAAATCAATAAGCAAAAACCATGATGCATTCAACCTTGGTATTGGACACTACCAAATTCACTCAACTAACATGCTCTCATCGAGAGTTTGAGACTAGGTTCAAAAGACTAAACCACTTTCTCACGCAATTTAAAAAGATATAAGGCAAGTAACGAACATATTGAATAAAACAATTTTAACACCGATCTGAAGAAAGTCTTCAATTTGTTTTTTTTTTTTTTTTTTTTTTTGACAAGAGCTAAACTGCAATTTAAACATTTGAGAAAGAAACTAGATCAGTTCTACAGAAGTTGGTTACTTGATGATGTGCCCTTTGTACATGTTGCCTATCCACCTTTCTGATGCAGCATGCCTCGAATTGCCCTTCTCGTTTCTTGATATCATGCAAAGTCCATCTATTAGTAATATTGTTCTCTGCATTCGTGTTCAGATGTGTGATCAAGGTAGCACAATCCATATAAACTTCAATTCTCTAAAGCCTTTTTCCATAGCCAAGATCATAGCCTGTAGGAATTGTAGAGAGAAGGAGGAGAAATGTAGAGAGATTTTATTTCAGTCAGAAAATCTGTAAAATGAATTCTAGTTACATCATTATTACAAGTGTACAATATATATATTGGAGTTAGTTACACCTCTAACTAACTTTATAATTTAATAAATGTAATAAATCTAATACACCCCCTTCAAGCTGGACATTGATCCAATAGTCCAAGCTTGGAAACCAGAGACCAATGCTGTGTTGAAGCCAATGGTTTAGTTAGCACATCTGCTAACTGTTTGTCAGAAGAAAACCATTTTCAACCAGTTCTCTAACATAATGCATATCCCTCTTCAAGAGCCTGGTCTTCTCATGAAACATAGGATTTTTGGCGAGCTGCTCAGCTGAGATATTATCACAATAGAGAGTCACAGGTAACTGAACTTTAACTCCTAAATCCTCAAGCAAACCATGCACCCATTCAAGTTCACTCCCTGTAACAGACATGCTTTTATACTCTGATTCTGCAGAAGACTTGCTCACATACCTTTGTTTTTTGGTCTTCCAGGACACCAGATTTGAACCAATAAACAAAGTATAAGCACTTAAGGACCTACTGCTGAACTGACAACCACTCCAGTCAGCATCACTGTAACCCATAAGTGACAAATCAGAGTCAGCTGTATACCACAACCCTACATCCGTAGTACCCTTCAAGTACTTAGCTACATGAAAAACATCTCTCAGATGTGGAACTCTGGGAGTGTGCATGAATTGACTTAAGTGTTGCAAAAAATAAGAAAGATCAGGCCTAGGAATTCCCAGATATAACAGTCTTCCTACTAATCTTCTGTAAGTATCAAGAGTATCTAGTAATTGTCCAACTTCAGTAGAAAGTTTAAGGTCTGTAGATAAAGGAGTAGAAGTAGGAATACAATCTTCCATACCAGCATCAGAGATTATATCCCTTATGTACTTCTTTTGGGACAAGAAAGTACCCTTGGAATTCCTTAAAATTTCAATTCCAAGAAAGTATTTCAAATCTCCTAAGTCCTTAATTGTGAAAGCATCATCTAGAGCCTTCTTTACGTCACCAATCCGAGAGTCTGAAGTTCATGTTAACAGCATATCATCCACATAAACAAGAATCACCAGAAAGTCACCACTCTTATGTCTAGTAAACATAGAATAGTCTTGTGTGGACTGTGTGAAACCCAAAGATCTCAGTAGCTTGTTCAACTCCTTATTCCACTACCTTGATGCATGTTTCAGTCCATAAATTGACCTTTTGAGTTTACACACTTGACCAGACTTACCCTTGTCATAACCAGCAGGTGGTACCATATACACTTCCTCATCCAGACTCCCATGTAAAAAGGCATTATTTACATCCAATTAGCATAGAGGCCAATTGTTCATAATAGCAAGAGCTATCACAACCCTCACAGTAGCTAATTTAGCAACAGGAGAAAAGGTTTGAGTAAAATCTTGCCCTTCTATCTGCTGATAACCAATAGCAACCAGCCTAGCTTTGTATCTCTCTATTGTACCATCATGATTCAACTTCACCTTGTAGACCCATTTAGAACCTATAACTTTCTTATCCTTGGGTAAGAAGACCAAATCCCAAGTCTCATTATCTTCTAAAGCCTTCAATTCTTTCTCCATTGCAAGTACCCTATTATTATCCTTCTTAGCCTGATTATAAGTAGTAGGCTCAATCACTTTAGAAGAACTGACATTAAAAGATTCAGACTGATCTGATGTAACATCCTTGTGAGGCATATATGTTGTTTCAAAATCTTTGTATTTTCCTGACAATTTCACAGGTCTAAAAGATCTTCTAGGAGCACTTTGTACAGGCAAAACAGAATGAGGAATCTGAGAAACTAACTCAGAAGATTCAGAACTATCTTCAACTGAATTAGAAACAGAAGGTTGTGTGATAGGAGACTGAATACTACTAGTATCAGTAGTATTTTGGAAAGAATTATTTGAGAATTGAGGTGTGATAGTAGGCAATATCACACTCTCAGAACTGAAATCAACCAGATGAGGAGAGACTGGAACTGGACAATTAGAAAAAATTTGAACATCAGTTTTAAAAGGGAAAACATTCTCAAAGAATATCACATCCCCTAGAGACAAAACTTGTATGAGAATTTAGATCATACAGCTTAAACGCCTTTTGGCCAAAAGGATAGCCAAGAAAGATACACTTTCTAGCCCTGGAATCAAATTTATCCCTATTAGGAGACAAAGTATATGCATAGCATAGGTAACCCACAACTCTAAGCTCATCATAGTTAGGTGGTTTGTGAAACAAAATTTGATAAGGAGATTTCCAACCTAAAACCTTGGTTGGAAGTTTAATAATAAAGTGAGTAGCAGAATGCAAACAATCTCCCCAAAATCTTTTAGGCAAATTAGCATGAAATCTAATGGCTCTAGAGATTTCAAGTAAATGCCTATGTTTTTTCTCAACTCTTCCATTCTGCAGAGGCACCTTAGCAACACTTTTCTAATGCAAAATCCCTTTAGCAGCACACATGTCTAAACAAAATTCTTTCACCAACTCAGTCCCATTGTCAGATTTAATTATTTTCACCCTTTTTTGAAATTGTGTTTCTACCATAGCCAAGAAACCAGCAACGGTTTTCTGAACTTGCATTTTGTTATGTAGAAAAGAAGTCCATTTGACCCTACTATGATCATCAAGCATTGTAAGATAGTAGGAAGCTCCGTTAATAGCCTTAATTCTATAGGGACCCCACAAGTCAATATGCAGCACATCAAAAACCCCTTCAGCTCTACTATCACTCATAGAAAAGGGTAATTTATGTTGCTTAGAATGCAAACAAACATCAAAATTGTATTCCTTTATTCCTGAACAATCAAGACCAGTAAAATACTTCATTTTTGACAAGGAAACATGCCCTAGTCTAGCATGAAACAAATCAACACTCACATCAACTCTGCCTTTATTACAAATACTTGTACTAGTCCTATTTGGCAATACAAGATTCTGACCTGCATTATTGCCATTCTCAAGGGTATTACACCCTAAATTATTATCAACATCAACACAGAGATTACCTCATTAATGGAGAAGTAATACAAGCCACCTTGCCTCAGTCCATATCCAATCACATCTTCACTAGAATGGTCCTGAAAATAGCAACTATTTCTAGTAAAGAACACCTTAACACCAATCTGTTCTATCAACCTCGCAAATTATGCTTAAAACCTTCTACCAACATAACATCATTCAACACAATCTTGTCATTCAATCTAACAGATCCAACCAACGCAACACACTTAAAAGACCCATCAGGTAAACATACCCTAATAGGAGTAGTAAGTTTCTTCTTATTTAGCAGCAGAGATTCATCATAAATCATATGATCACAAGCACCACAATCTATAATCCACACACAATTTTCTCCATAATCATTCACAGAACAATTAAAGGAGTAAGTGTCAATACCTGCAAAATTTGCAAATGACAAGCCAGAACCTCCAGTAGCCTGCTTGCCTTTCATAGTTTTCATCACTTCTTGACATATCATACTCAGCATATCAGAATCAATACCACCAGCACTTGCAGCAGTATTTTAAGATAGAGGATCTTCTTGAACTTGATCAATAGTCACATTAGCAACAATCTTCTGACCACTACCAGAATTCTTAGCAACCTTAAGAGCATTATACCAATTAGGGTAACCATGCAATTCAAAACAAGAATCCATAGTGTGCCCCTTCCCTTTGCAATAATCACATTTCCTATCATTCTTCTCCTTCTTCCAATCCTTCTTAACAACATTCTGACTATTGTTGTTTCGAGGATTAAACCTCTGATTATAATTACTCTGACCTCTCTGAGCAACCTTAGCACTACTCTCAGTAATATGCTCAGTATTACCACTAACCTCCTTGTGTTTCTCAACTTTTTGAGCAATGGATAAATCTCTATTAAGAGAAGGAAGAGGATCCATAGACAAAATTTTTGTAATAGTATAATCAAAACCACTATTCAAACCTAGTAAAAACTGCATCAGCTTATCATCAGCTTCAAGATCAGCAAGCTTCTTCAAAAATTGACAAGTACAAGAAGACAATGCACCACATGTACACATAGGATACTCCTTCAAACTCTGCAATTCATCCCACAATTTCTTGATTTTGCCATAATAAGCAATAATCGACATATTTTCTTGCTTTAAAGCATCAATATCCTTCTTCAACTAATAGATCAAAGGGCCATTAGACTAACCAAAACGTTCTTGCAATTCACTCCACAATTCAACAATAGAATCAACATAAGCAAAATCATCAGCAATTTCAGCAATCATAGAACTCAAAATCCGGCTAACAACCATATAGTCAGCTCTATTCCACCTAGGATGATCCTTGTGAAATTCATCAGGTTTCTTCATTGAACTAGTAACAAAACCATCCTTATTCTTAGCAATCAAAGAACGTTTTACACTACGACTCCATCTAATGAAATTATGACCTGAAAATGGAACAACAACTAGAGAAGCAGTAGGACTATCTGAATTTGCAATAAAAAGAGGATCAAGATTACCTCCAGAAGAAAACGAGTTCATCTCAAAAGAAGCATCACCATTACCAGTACCAGCCGCCATTAAAACAGCTCAAAATCTTCAAGATCTCGAAAAATAATCGCAATTGAAGAACGAACAACTCAAAAAACTGATTACGAAATCGTAATCAACAATCTCAAAAAGAAATCAGATGTTCAAGATCTGCAAGAAAATTTCGCAATTGCAAACAAATTGCAATCGCAATAAATCTTCGCAATCGAACAACAAATCAGCGGAAAAACAGAGACGATAGAAGAATTCAATCAAAGAAACGAAGAACCCTAATCTCGAGTGAGATTCTGCTCTGACACCATGTAGGAATTGTAGATATAAGGAGGAGAAATGTAGAGAGAGATTTTATTTAAGTCAGAAAATCTGTAAAATGAATTCTAATTACATAATTATTACAAGTGTACAGTATATATATTGGAGTTAGTTACACCTCTAACTAACTTTATAAAATAATAAATGTAATAAATCTAATATAGCCCCCAAGCAAGTAAAAATTCATAAATAAACCTGGTCTACAATAAAGTTATTATAGACCAAGTTTGTCATGTGCTTGCTTACTACCAGCTTCTTACTGTACAATTTATTACAAGCAGGAATTTATTTCCTTTTTCTCTCTTTCCTCTAAAAGATTAGACACATCACACTTTCTCTCTCTTCCAAGCCCTCACACTTTCTCTCTCTTCTCTTCTTCCATTTTCTCTCTCTTCAAAATTGCTTGAATTCAAGCATCTATGGCAAGAACTCGAGGTGGTGCAACATTTCAACGGAAAAGAGGTCTTCGTTCTTCAGCTACAAAACCACTTTCTGGTATCGTTGTTGCTCTTTGTTTTGCGTTCTTTGATTTCAGCATTTTTGAGCGTTTAACTGTTGTTTTTGAGAGATTAATTGTTGTTTTTGAACGATTAATTGTTGTTTTTTGAGCGATTAATTGTTTTTTTAGCGAGTCATTGTTCTTGTTTTTGAGCGATTTTTAGTTCTTCGTTGTTGTTTAATTTTTGTTCTTTGTTGTTGTTTAATTTTGTTGATTTATTGTTTTTTAGTTTAATTTTTTTGTGTTCGATGATGATTTGTGTTTTTTTTAGGTTTTCTTTGTTGTTTTTTGTGTGTTATTTTGATCTAATTTGTTTAAATTGAAGCAGATTTGGTTTAGGTTTTAGTCTGCATGTGTATGAATTGTGCGCAATTAGTTCAATTTCATGGTTTTGCTTGGCCTATTTCAACTTTGATGGCGTGATTAACAATTCACCAATTTTTAAGTCTTTACTCTGAAATTTAGGCTACAATTTGGGTGTGATAGTAGTTGTTATAGTTGTAGATACATACATCATAATCTTCTATTGAGAATGTGATTTATCAATGATCTTTGCTCCATATTCTATAAATTATCATCAATTTTGATTAATTATTTGATTTTGTGGAATTGTTAGTATATTGTAATCTGTTGAACTATATATGAGGATGAAATTTTACTGATCGGTTGTTTTTGGCAGAATGTGCTATGTTTTAAGGGATGAAATGATGTGAACTTGATTAATATGCATTTTAAAATTCTTCTATGTTAATTGCATTTTACATTTGCTATTATATTACTCTTTGAATCTTACAGAGCACAAACTCCATCTAGTGCTAGGTACCGACTATTTCTCACACCAATCCCTTTTGTGATGGACTTTTTGTTTTGAATCCTAGACTATTGTTCTATAATGGATGTAGTTTTGTCTCATGCTTATCAAACTTAAATCTCAGATTAGTCAGATATGCAGATGTCAGAATGTAATTTGTGAGAATAAGATGATAACAAGCGAGGGCTCATGGAGTTGTTTGATGTGGTGTGTCATTTAATAGAGATTAGAGAGGAAGAGTGGTGTAGGTTACATTAATTGAATAGTGGGACAGCAGGTTAGGGGCTAGGATAACAGCAGGTTGATTTAAAATTACATGAACCTTATTATGGTTCAATGATTTGTTTTGACTTGTGAGCTTTAGATTTAATAATTTTTCATGGTTTCTTAATCCTATTATTTAGAGTATTAGTTTGTGATAATTGATCTTATACTAATACATAACTTGTATAGCTACATATCATTTGTGTCAGAAAAAATATACGAAGTAGGTAGGAGGCTGGGAGCTGACATAACAATAGTTACATTGCAATTTTGCTATAAATCTAGTTTCATAACCTATTGTGATAAGATTAGTTTAAGGTTAAGGTCCATTATACTTCGTATTTGTTTACTTGTTTGTAGAGTAAGGCTGCATACAAATATGTGTATAAGTTTTGATAAGATTAGTTTAAGGTCTAATTGTGTAGCCTTTCATTTGTCATTATTTCTCTTTTAAAATCGAAGGAAATGATTATTGTTTATCATGTATAGATTTTCCATATGAATATATTAGGTGATCTATGCCTTTTAAGAAGACACTTTATGCTTTATGCATTTTCACAAAATTCTCATACCTAAGTTACATGTTAAGGTGGTAGTGGATAGTTAAAGGAATTACTCCTAATACAGAAAGTATTTGTTAATTTGTTTTAATAGAGTAGAGATACATTCTGTAGCATATATCATTACATCTAGACTAGGTGCTATACTTTCCCTCCCCTGCCTCTGTAAAGTCTTTATGTCAAAGGTTATATACTTATATTGTCCTCTTTGTATGTTCAATGTTTCCTGTGAAAATTATAATCCTTATCCTAAATAATGTTTTTGATGACCCAAGTCCTATAGCTTATTTGCTACCAGCCTCAACATTAATGATATAGTTTGTTTAGTTTTGTTTCACTCTGTAGGTTTATCATGATTCTTTGAAATAAATGGGAAAAAATTTAGGTATTATGTGTCCTCTGAAATAATATATGCATATTCATGCTTTCTAGTTACTGAAATCTGCTTTATGTTCCCTGTTTCTATTGCTTTGATTGGGCCTTTGCTTGAAATCCGATTAAGCATCAGCTTTCTATATGGGATACTTTCCGCTCTTTCCTACTTCATGAACTTTCATTGTAATTTTACAGACCATGAATGGGTGAGCTCTGTCTACAAAAAAGAGGACTTTAGTGTTTTTCTTTTTTTACTTCTCGTGGAGCACATATTGTTATGTTCTTGTTATATGATTTATCAGCATGTATTAGGTTAAAGCTAATCTCTCTTTATCATGCATGTTAACTGCTATTTTTTTTTAAGTGGCATTGCTGATTATTTTCGGCTCTGTTTATAGTGCTCCATGTGTATCATATATGCTGCGTAAATGTGCACTTTACAATGACATGTCATGGTCTTAAATTTTCTAGTCACTATTGTTTCAGTAAGGTCACTATAATTTACATTTTGATTTCTTTTCTATAATAATGGTGCCAAAGGCTTGAAGAAGAAAACTAGAGCTAACAAGGAAAAGGGTGTTGCTGAAGAAGATGTTTCTGAAGAGGTTCATGAGCATCAAGTTCTTGTAACTGGTTCACCTTCATCTCGGCATAAGAGAACTCGTGAAGATGAACCTAAACTTGGCGCTGAAGCTGCTTCTCTTGTTCATGTTAAGAAGACAAGGACAAGAACGAAGAAATCAATAGTTGAAGCTGGTGAAGCTGGTGGTGATGTACCTACGTAAGTAACTTTATTTCCTTTGGAGTGCTCTCAAAAAATTAGATTCAACATGTATGTTATGTGACTATGCATTATTATCTTTATTTTGCAGATTGCGGCCATTTAAAACCAAATGTAGGCCTTTGCATTTGGTTAACATGATGTCTAAATTTTCTCCTTCTCAAATAACTTCTGTAAATGAAATCGGTTTTGGAGGGTTGTTATCATTGAAGTTGAAAAGGAATCTTACTAGTATGTACATGTGGCTAATTGATTCTTTTGACTATGGTAGCTGCATGTTTTCAATTGATAATAGTAAAGAGTTTGTGGTGACCGAGTATGATGTGTATGATGTGTTTTGCCTTCCTTTGAACCCCAAAAGTATTAAGGAGAGAACTGGATATTCTAATAAAAAAATCCAGACTTTGTTTTCAAACATAAGTGGAGGTTGAATTTTGGGTTGACAGATGAAAATGACCAAATTCCACTTAATTTGTTTGAAGATGGGATACCTACTTTAGGTCAAGGTGGAGATGAGTTTAAGCAACTCTTTGTTACGCATGCGATATCTACATTTTTAGCTCCTACTTCTAACAGAACCGCTGATCTTAGGATTGTCAAGGCACTTGATGATGTTGGAAAAATTAAGAATTTGAATTGTTGTAAATATGTTCTTGAAAAACTATGTGAAGGTGTTAAAAGTTACAAAAATGGAGAAATTCAGAATTGTTGTGGTTGTATTTTGATGTTGGAGATTATTTACTTCCATAGGTTGAAATTTAGGAATGTTGAATTAAGTACTTCTTTACCCTTAATTCAACATTGGAATGATGAGTAGTTGATTAGGGACAAAATTAAGAAAGAAAAATTGTCCAAAAGTTTTGGGTGTGGGATTTTACTCTCTGATGTGTATCCTGTTAGTGGTAAACTGAAGTTTCAGGATGGTCATGTGGGTACTACAGGGGAAAGTATGGGGAATGTTGATAATGTCAGGGGGGTGCAGATGTGCCTGCTACAGTACAGTTCATTCTCCCACCAGGTTCAATGTCAGATCAAGAGATCCATTCGGCTAATATTGATGTAAGGAGTATCTGACTTTTGTTCTTTTTTTTTTTTTTTTAATTATTGGATATGATATTTAAATTTTTATACATGATTTTTTCAATGTCTTTGCAGCCCGTTCATGAAAAATTTTTGTTCATGAAAAGAGATATGAATGTGAATTCTTGTTTTTACAGTGACAAGATAAAACAGATTCTTCTTTCACGCCGCAATGAGACCAAACGCTCCTGGTATTAATGTGTCCCAGGATGATCAGTTTTTTTGGATCCTCAAGTTCAATATGTGATTGATGAGATCTCCGAACTTGCTATTTGGGTGACAAAAATGTCCGAGGTGTTGGATCAAGTTTCTACATTTGACCACAAAAAAACAAATGAAGGGAGGGAGGAAATTAGAGGCACTTTGCTTGTGATTGGATTTGAAAATATTCTTGCAAATGGAGGGTCCATGTGTTCGATTTCTTTTGATTAGAAATATGATGAAAAGATTATAGTTATTTCACACCTTTTAAAGTCAAATAACAAGGAAATGAAGCTATTAGATCCATAAGTTCTAGAATTGTCGACTATTGCATTATCAATGATTCTTGTTTGGCTCCTAAGTAAGTAATCTTTTATTTGATTAAATTGATTTTCTCTTATTTATTTATTTATGAAACACCTTTTTAATTCTTATTTTATACTCTTAGACTCAGTAAACTGTTGGTATTTTTTCACGAAAAGCATTTGATTCAAAGGCAAGACTTCTACACATTAGCAGAGCCTTCTGAAATCATGAGCAATAGTATTTCGGATTGCTGGGCATTGCTTCTCAATGAAAATCAGAAATTTCTTAAGGATGGACCTCGGAAATTGTACTTTGGTTCTTCAATTAGTGTGAGTTGTTTAATTATTTCAATGTTTATACATGTTTATACTTTTCACTTATTTTTTATTTGTTTAAATATTATGAAGGTTACAATAGTAGAAG